ACTTTTTAAACAATTATGTCACATGTTTTAAATTAAAAAAAGATACATAATTAGAAAATTATTTGTCAAATATTGTTATTTGTGATAGAAATTTTATAACTTTGTTATCCATGTTTTTAATGGATTACAATGATTCTTAAAAAGCTTATGAAGATTTATTAGAGACAAGCGGGCTAAATCCAGAAAAATTCAGAGATATAATGTTGAAATTATTGAAAAGAACTTTGCTTAATTACATTCTGTTAACAAAAAATGGAAATTCATCTTTATATAAAGGATAAGTTAAAGTATATTAGGAATAAATTAAATTAAAAGAAGTCTCCCTTGAATAGGTTGATGTAGCCTATGTTTAATTATATGCTTTTTTATTCGGAGCTTAAGGTATTAATGAAATAGTCTTCAGCTATAAAGAAATTGCTGAATTTTTCAATTACAAAACTGATACATCGTTTCTTATATGTAGAATAGCTTAATCTGATTATGATCTCATTTAATGCGTAGGTGATATGTTTGAAAATGATCTTCCAGAGTAATTTTAAAAAGGACTAAATAAATTATTTCAAACACTCTTTTTTGCTTAGTCATTCTATTAATAAAATGAATTAAGAGATGTTTTAAAAAAAATTAGTTTTGACAGCAGTCTAGATCTATAAAAAATAATTTTAAGCTCATGTGAATTAAATTTAGATAATGAATAATTATAATTGAAAAGATCACTTTTACCTGCTTAATATGAACCAGTTTTTGCTGATTTAGTATTTGAATTAAAAGAATAAATAATAGATAAATTAAAAACTTAAAATGATAAACAATCTGAATTGTTTGGCACAGCTCTAGCTCATGAGTTGAATTAATAAAATTAGCAAAAATCAACATTAACATAAAAAAGATTAGTCATATTGAAAGCTATTGCTCATGACGATTAGTAGCAAGTGCTTAAAGATATTGTAAAATAAATACAAGTTTAATAGGAATAAGGATAAGGGTAGGGATAAATAAAAAATATTTCATCTATTTTGGAAGATAACTCTGTATATATTAATTTAGTTTTTTAATGTAATAAACATTTCTAAAATCCATTTGAAGTTCTAAAAAATAATTTGTAAATAATTTTCTAAATATGTTACTAAATGATTACAGATATTAATTAAACTTAAACAACGGACAACATTTATTCTATTTTTGCAAAGTTGATTGATGAAAATTTGTGTCTTGATACTTTGTAAAGTGATGTTTTTAGGACAAGTAGGTCTAAGATAAAAAAAGCTTAGTATTAACAATATGAGACAAAACTTTAGCATTAAGATTGTTGAGAATCCTATTGAAATGGCAAAAGAAACTTGTTCTTTATGCTAATTATAATTTTAAAAAGATGAAAATTTAATATAGAGCTTTATTGATTTCATATACAAATGTTCACAAGCATATTCAAATGATTCCTTTACCGGCAAAATAAATTTAATAATATGACTTTTTCCAAATTGTAAGTTCATGTTGTCAACACACTATTCATAAATAATGTTTACTATAAAATTAATAAAAATATTCTATAGATGAGTTTGAGTTTTAATATTTTAGCTGTCCTATTTGTTTATTTCCATATAACTTTCCATTTGTTAGTCCAAAGTACATTTAATCTGCTAATGACAAGATGTTGGCAGAAAATTTGGATTTTTTTTTATAAACCTTACCAGATAAAAAATTTGTGGAATACTATGGAAAAAATTCAGCAAAGGATGAATTAAAAATTCCAAAAATTTTAGATGAAATTTTTTCTTAAGTTCTTTTCAACTTATTATTTTAATTATTGAGTGATATAACTAAATTTAAATAGTAAAATACCCAATTGTTATTATAGGAGGTTTTGTCTTTATAAAGAATAATTTATCAATAAAATTAAACTACTATTTTAGAATAATTTGTTGATGATAATAAAAATTAGATTCTGTTTGGCATTTTAAATTTAATATTG